TTCAAACAAAAACTTACATTTTCCATGTATCAACATTGCCAAAATCCATTCGTGATAAAACAACGGCGAAAAAGCGTTGATCTCTTCCCAAAACCATGTTTTTGGGCGTCGAAACAACATTTCCCCATACATTTCCTTCTAGCGACTTGCAATGTTTGCCCCCTGACGATCCCAGAGTTCTTTGCGCAAGCACGGGTATCCGATTACTAGCAACTCATTTATTGGAATACGTCTCCAGCAAAACCGGTGGTCTCCTGTCCGGGCGACATATCCTTGTGAATCATCAAGAGAATGCGATTGTCGGCAAAAAGAGCCACACGGTTGTTATTGTTGTGTGACCTTTTGTTGAAGTACATCTGCATATAAACATAGTAAAGACCACCCTCGGGCACTTGCAGTCTTCCATAGGCATACTCAAAGCGAGGCAACACATGGCTATTAGGGTGAGCAGCGTACCATGCGGTAATTACTAAAATTAGTCAAGGAAACAAACGACATTGATATGTTTTTAATGAGCCATTATATAACACAATTTAAGATTTCGAGGAATTCATTCCGAAACGAAATATATCATGCAATCATCTATTCTTTCCTTTTTAAAATATTTTAATAGTGACCCGTTGGCCTCCAAATCTAAACGCTTTCAAAAACACTCAGCCGGATCTTGGGAGTTCCTAAAAGGCCATTTCCGAGTACCCTTGTGCCTCTGTTTCAAAACGAGTCTTGGTTCCCGTACTTGTCACAAAAATATTTAAGCTACGATAATTTGAAAAAAGATGTGCGATATTTATGTCGCCCAGCCCAGCTAAATTCCCGTGTGGACTTTTTTAAGATTTCTACGCGTCTTATAGAGTCAGTTTGACTTTCATTGAAATCTTTGTTCTCCACAACTTGAATAATGATGGACAGTAAGGGATTTTTTTTCTTTTTTTTTTTTTTTTCTTTTTTTTTTTTTTGCCTCGTTCCTAGCCTCAATGCGTCATAGGTATCATCAATGTGTCGACTATGGTATAGAATTAAATCGATCCCGACTCGCTTCTGTTTTAAGTACAGTTGAACCCCGCTATTTCGAACTCGCGCAGGTGAAACGAAACACAGTACGAAATAGCGAGAGTTCGAAATAGCCGATAGTAAATGACTAAAGAGGAATTCCAAGAGAAATGGCTTTGGGTTCCAAATAACGGGGAACTTGAAATAAACGAGTTCGAATTAGCGGGGTTCAACTGTAATCTATTTTTATTTCGTATTTCAATCTTCTTGGAAGAGAAATTTCACTTTCCTTGCGCGACAACGAACACTACAGAGAACAAAATTTTCGAACTGAAACAGAACGTTGTCCTACTTTTCTAGCACCACACCGTCCATGCAGCTCATTGACCTCTCAAATTAGAAACCACCTTCCAAGTTGTGTTCCAGCAGCAACGCGTCCGACCGACTCACTTTGATGAAATGCTTTCGCTGTCAATATTGGGATAGTTTAACTAGAAACAGTCGCAATCTTGTTATGAAAACTAAACGATTTAGAATAAGTCTTCAAGACTCCTAAATAATCATAATCTCTTGGCAGTAGTCAATAGCGTGCCGAAGTGTAGCTTTGTCAAGTGTAAGTTCGATTTCTAAATGTGATTGTAGCCTTTAAATCCACGTGAAAGTCTGAGTTTATTGAGAACAAATTGTTGCGATGCAAAAAAATGGGCAGCAAAGGTTTACTCAACCAAACTCACGTTTCCTTCGAAGAGGTCACGTATTCTGTGGAACATTGTTTCTACAGCTGTTTGTTAGAATTGACATAGTCTACTTCAACAGCTGTCTGTAAGTCTCACTTTCTCAAGGCTGTTTTCATATGTAAAAAGTTGTTTAGAATACATTTACTTAAGAAACTCGAGGAAAAGCTGTGGAAACCAAACTTTTAGAAGTGACGAGGTCACGAATTTGATATTAAGACTTTAGTTAGCGTGATCTCGATTGATTTCATTGTGTTTGAAAATTCGCATCTTAATAATGACCCATATCCTGTCTCGTTTTCAGTCGTATAAGAGCACCAGAGTAATTCGACTGCTATATTCCTTGAAAAGTCACTGGTAAATAATTACAAAGTCAACACTGAATTCTTAATGTCCATAAGCCTGTTAGGTTAACAATATCTCATTTGCTAGTGACGATTATTGTATCGCCAATATCTTAAAGCTCGCAGTCTCTTGCAGATAACCTAGAAATTCAATCAGGACAAAGGAAAGATTTTAAGGTAATGCTTAATGTTCTGTTGTCCTTTTCTCCTGTTTTCCGTATCGCTTTGCCAAAATTAGCGCGGTAATACTTAGTTTTTTCTCACACAAAGAAGCAGGTGCAGAGACTTCTTTGCCTTTAAAACACGTACAGTTTTGATTATATGAGAGGCGTGGTGGCCTCATGGTTAGTGCGCTCGTCTCCGGATCGGGCGGTCGGGTTCAAGCCCTCACTGGGACATTGTGTTTTGTTCTTGGGCAAAACACTTTACTCTCAGTGTGCCTCTCTCCAACCAGGTGTATAAATGAGTACCGGCGAACTTAATGTTGAGGTAAGCCTGCGATGGACTAGCATCCCATCCAGGGGTAGTAGAAATAGTCCTAGTCGCTTCATCCTGCAGCGAAACCGGGGTAAGCTTCGGCCTGATTGGCCACTTGTTTCGTAAGCAGACTTGCCACTAAAATTTATTTTTCATTACCAGGTTAAGTAGGTAACTCATGTAACTCGGCCTGCGTTTGCTCTGACAGTAAGGTTTAGTCTTTACATAGTGGAGCTTTTGTGACTGTCACGTTCTTCACCCACGTCTTCAAGTTACTTTTATTAAAACATATACAGTCTTTTGAAATATACGACGCATGGTCGAATAAGACCTTACTTCAAATGGCATGCAAAATTATACCTACCTATTTTAATCATATCATTCGATTTCGGTGTATGGTAAGCATCAGTTTAATCGTGATTTACTTGTCGAAGGCTTCAATTTTTTCTGTGAATTTTCACCACAAATAAAAATGTCTTGGAATGGAATCTTTCCCACTGTGAATTATTCCCAATTCCTTCCCAAACCAAATAGAAACAAACTCTCAGTGAATAAAATTGTCTGTACCTCCAAATCGTGACAACACAAATAGGTAAATTGATGATATTTCACTTCTTGCGCTCAGAATATATAGTTAAAAACTATTCTTTTAAAATATGTATTGTGATTCTATTGCCGATTTTGTCAGTCAGAAACGCTACAAGTTCTACGAATACCAGTGTCGCTGCCGACATTTCTCATGTTTATAAATCTGCCCAGTGACGAAGAACCGAAAGCAAAACTACCCAACATTTTTTTAAGATGATGTTGTTATTTCAAACCATCCTCCCCTCACAAATAGAGCAACGATAGTAGATTCTTTTTCAAATTTCTGGGTGGAGGGTCTTTCAGACTGCTTTTTAGCAAAGTCGAAATTTTTATCGCAAAAAAAGGTTGTAATGCAGTGAATTAATTTTTGGTTTAATTAAATGATTTTTCCTCTCTGGGACAGGTCATGTTGCTTTCGGTGACGTTTTTCGGATCCCTAATTCTGGTTAGCTCATTAGAACAGGCAAGTACAATATCCCTGTCCTGCCACTGGCTGAAACTCAGCTGTCATGCAGTCGTGATTACGTTAATCACAAACTGCCACACCTATATCAGACATTTTCTAAGGGTGTTTGGAGTATCTGTTTTATGAGCTATGACTAATATAATACTAGTATAATTTCAGAGCTGAACAAAGAGTTTCCAGCAATCTAATTGGTTCAGCGATCCCTTATATGACGTTTTATATAATAATTAAATGAATGCGCACGCTCTGATTGGTCAATCAGCTATGGTTTATTGTGCCAGTAAACTCATGGAAATTTCGCGTGTCTTCTGAATTATTATATAAAAGCATGCGGCTCGTGATTTACGAATTCTTCGAGTGTTCCTCCAACATCGCAAGTGGTTTATCAGCCTATAAACCATGAAAACTTGTGGTCTATTGCTTAAATATAAACCGCGTTAAGCGGTTTATATAACATTTTCCAGGCCTGACTACTAAGCTCGATACCTTGGCCATCTCGGCAAGTAAACATGGCGGACAGTAGGTGAATGAATTTTTCATCTATTCGGAAGACATCACTCTAAGTCCAGGATATTTGAAAGGATGGAGAATTTTCAAAATGACTGCTGTCTTCCTTGCACCAAAAATTCTTTCAAGGACTCGTGTTCAAGGAAGTTAAGAATCGTAAACGCAGTGGTCACGTTGATTGCCAGCAGGTCAGGGTCGATTGACCGAAATCTGTTTTTCTCCAAACTGAATGCTACTCATTTTGAGACGATGATGACAACTGTGGATGAAGTCAACAGCGATAAAACAAAGGTACCGGATGAACTTATTTTTCGTAGTGTTTTGCTTATTTGTTTTAATGCAGAACTCGATGAGTTAGCTGATTCACAATCGATGTAAACTTACATGTAAGCTCCTTATTAAAACTATTCGGCTGCATACGTGCATGCAAACGAACAATTGCGTCCCTGTTTTTATGTTTCAGTCCGTTATTCTCTGTTGTTCAGTTCTGAAATCATACTAAAACAATTATTCACCTCGCCTTCGGCGAGTAATTGTTAAATAGTAATTACACTTTAGTAATACTGTGGTCATGCAACCGAATATCAGAAGCATTTTTGCCTCACAAATTCATAGATGTGAAAAAAAGAACAGAAGCACGAAAAACTTACAGGAGGCCACTTAAAAAACCAGTTAGGAAATAATCACTTTATATACTGAAACACAGGTAAGCTCTTTTCGTCTTGGGGATGTTGTCCCGAGTGTTGGTGCGACTTCATGCAAAGAGATTCATGACGAATACCGGTAAGTTTTGAAAAAATGTATACATGTAGATCTGCGCTTGGAATATCGGCCCGAGAAGACCAAGGGGCAAAATTTTCCTAGTATGGTCCAGAACAAACATTAATAAGAGATTTATAACATGACTGAAAATATCTAAAAAAAAAAATCCACGATCACAGACTGGAAAAACACCATAAACTTCCATCCCGCAATTCTGAGATTCGATTCGAACAATCTGATTGGTGGATTTTAGTTATCAGCCCTCTGATTAGTAGTGTATTAAATGAAGGTACCTAAAACGTGATGAGCTTTATTTCCAATAGTTATAATGACATGTAAAAAAAAAACGAATACAATACAGATTAAAAGCTAATGCATTAGTTGAATTTTTTTTTAAAGAACAACTGAAAACAAAGCCTACATGCTCCAGTTTGGCGGCCAAAATGTTTCTGTCTACTGTAGTATGGATGGAACTGATCTTGGCGACTGTGGCTGTGGGGGATGGACGCTGGTCATGAAGATTGACGGCTCTAAGGTATTTTAAACGCCAAAGTTTTATAAAGAACTAAACGCCATTACCACATCTGGGGATCTTGGTGGAACGTCCCATAACGTTATTGTTGTGGAAAACACTGTACATGTACTTTTGCCGTGTTCTTTGAGTTGACTCTTCAATTTGATCTTGCAGCGGACGTTTCATTACGATTCGTCTTACTGGACCGACAAGAAAGCATATGGCATCCCTGAAGGAGAAACAGGTTTAGATCAGAAAGAAACAAAGCTACCAACCTACTGGAACACACCATTTACCAGGATCTGTCTCGGCATGAAGACTGGAGACGAAACTAGGTTCATTCTTCTCGGCCAGAAGGCCAGCTCGCTCTACTCCCTGATTCAAGATGGTAAATACCGCCCCACTTCACTGGGTCGTGACACTTGGAAGAATTTGATCGGTCCTGAGGCCTCCCTGCAGGGCAACTGCAACAGAGAAGGATTTAATGTTAAACCTGACGATTCCGTTCATTCTAAGGCACGAATTGGTTATATTGCTAATCAAGAAAATGATTGCAATAGCCCTGACTCCAGGATTGGGTTCGGCACTGGAGGGAAGCACGACGACTCCAACACGTGTGGAAACGAGGCTACGTATGATCCAGACAACGGAGTCAAACACATCAAGGCCATGGGGTATATCTTGGTTCAGTGAAGTGAAGCAAACTGAAGTGATCATGAACTGAACTTCCAGTGATCAGCGTGAAATGTTATGATTGATAGTTCATTAAATTTTAAACCTTACAGTACAAAACTAAATTATGGGTTATGAATTAAGGCTATACATAACAGATTAAGAAAATAAAAAAATATATTACAAAGGATTCAAATTGACTATCGTCTTATTTGCAGTGGCTATATATGAAACAGTTCTGCATTCTGTTTGTTCTACATGTAGACAATTGAAGGCGGTATATGTCATCGGCGGAGGTAAAAATGTCGTAGCTTGTGATCGTGGTTATTAAAATAGGGCCTTCCAAAAAAAAAAACTCTACTTTTTCAATGTTGAGGGCCGGGCCTGTAGGAAATGGTACTCATTTATACGAAGTGGTTACATGTAGTTTCTAACTGAACTGCAATGATGGGTCGGAAGCATGTGACACTCTTGGTTGATTACAAACTCGACAATGACGTTATATGTATTGAAAAGCTGACGTCTCGATGTTTAGCCCTACGAGCCCACCACTCAACGACTGCATACAACCTTCCGGCCCTCCCTCCTCCTCTCAGCCTTTCACCTTTCACCTACCGATCCCTTTCCTTACATATGTCACTCTTTACCTACCCGTCCCTGTCCAGTTCTTTTGTTATTGTCGTCAGACTCGTCCCGCGATGTGCATTATAATTTCACAAATATTTTCAGATAAGTCACTTAAGGGACTTCTCTGTTAGAGACGTGATCTTTTTGTTAGGGAGGTCATTTGTGCTTTAAAATCTAGAGAAGTAATCAAATAATGCACATACTTATATACTTTATTGAGCAGCAATTGAACCTCCTTAATGGGGGCTTCACGAACACTAAATTTAAAAGAGATTCCCACATTTACAATAATAAGATATATTGCAGTTTCATAAGAGCTATAAGATAACAACATAAATTTCCATCAAAATCACTCTAAAAAGCGTTAAAAAGAAATAGTTAAGATGCTAAGAGTCCAAGAATTTCTTAACAAGAGCTTATGTTTCAAGGTCTTTTTGAAAAATGTCACAGTAGGCTATGGTGTTGTTCGTTTTGTTTGTTTTTGTTTGTTTGTTTGTTTGTTTGTTGTTGTTGTTTTTCGTTTTTACGTATTAGTCTTTGTTACTCTCGAGGCGAATTTTATTTGGTGATGCAGGCAGCGTTCTCTTGTGCTGCAGTGCTATGACCGCTTTGTCGCTCAGAGAGGTTGCGTGGATGTCGTAAGTGTTGTTGCGATTGCTGAAATAAGGAGTTGTTACTTGCGTCGCCGTGACAAGATCCCTCTAGTTCACCCTACAAAACGCGTGATATTGTTGTCAGCAAAACATGTTTAACTAAAAAAGGAGTGTTAGCCTTCGGATACAAACAAGGATTTAGCCTGAGCAATGTGAAGACTATGAAATAAAAACGAGACTATAGCTAATAGTTACAGCAGCAGGTTGGCGTTGCTACATTGAACACTTGACAAATTGCATATAAGCATATAAAATATCCGTTTTTTAGGACAACGATTTATGCGGGCAACTATCGGACTAAGTAAGCCCTCGAGAGAAAAACTGAATTGTTTACATATTACACCGGACAGCTCAACCAGTGCCAATATTGAAAAACAAGAAAAATTCTACTAAAACTCAAAAGAGCAACAAAAAGTGTTTTCTATTTCTTAAACTAAAGCAAAATCCAAATAATTAAAAGGAACAGAGTGATCTGAATCAAGCACTCACTTATTTCTAAGACACGAGCGACGCAGGTAAAATGTAACTAGTAACGGATTGGGTTTCAAGATGTCTACTTCCTTTCTATTCCTGGTTACGCACGAGAGGCATTCACCGGAAATGACGCCATGGACATGACGCAGCGTAAATCATCCATGTTTATAACATCATGTCGGAAGAAGGCGCAGATGAAACGTGCGATCAAACAGGACACAACTCTAGACAAGTAAGTCATTCAGTCGATTGAAACCAAGCCTTTCTCTAAATTACAAATCTGATGGGCTTTACATAACACATTTGCGGACCCACAGCAACACGAAACATCACGCGACATCACGCCACCAAAACAAAAGTAAACATTTCAAGCATTACTGTTGCGATATTAAACCTCAAACCCGATCATATTGCTCATGAATCGTTAGAAAAATCCAACGTTTGACTTGATTCTAATGAAGCTGTATGACGAGAAACAACTTTGCTAGTATAGTTAAGGTACTATGTTTCTCATGCTGTATTTGCAAGAGAGGTTTACTTCGGCAGCCATATTTACTTCCTGACCACTGGACCGCAAATCATGTAGGAAAACCATTTACACAACTAGTGGCTTCATACAGGAATTGCACCTCGCTAAAATGCACTCCAGTTTAATAGCATAAAAACCACTTTGGTTAGCTTAACAGCACTGCGGTCAGCCTGACTAACGCTTTATGATCCAGTTAGCTTAGGTTAATGCTGACTTACAAGGAATACACTATTAATACTGAACTCTATATGATACTTTCTTTTATTTACACGTTGCTACATGCTTTACACAGAATTAATAACTAAATTGAGCAGTGGACAACTGACGGAGCTTAAGCGAGAAATAATTGAGATTTTGTCGTTTAACAAGTGTTGCAATGCCGTCTGGAAAGATATTTGGATCCTTTGCTGTTATTTATTGTTCTAAGAGAAGGGTCCAATATTGCCTGTCCCTACAGACAATTATAATTTTTGTTATTGTCTGATTGTCCTACTAAGATACACACACAATAAAGGGAGTGGGGTGGGGAAGAAAAATCTTTGATAACTTTTCCAATATTTAAGTAAAAACCTTCAAACTTGTCGGCATATAAAGCTGAAATTTGTCAGGAAACAATTTATTATGGCATTTCCTTGTTCATGTACTTGTAACTTCATGTTTACATGGCAAAAAAGTTTGACAGTTTTCCTTTTATTTCAAAATATGAAATAACCTTGTTTTTATTAACAAAATTGTACACCCAGGTATTAGCAGTAGCAGCAAATTAATGCTGGGGAGGTTGTGGCTCTGCTAGGTCAGTAATTATAATTGCAAAAGCACTATTAAACCTTTAGATGGTTATTAAGATATGATTTATGAATCAAGGAGTTAAACTTTGCAAGAACTTATTGCAGACATTTGAACTAAACATATTATGCAAGGAGGTGAAATATAAATACACACTGTAGTGGTTAATGAGAGCCACCCTAATGAACTTAGTGTTAGCTTTTTGCTGTTACCCTCTATAAAGATGATTATTATTATTATT